TTGGCATTCAGTGACCTTATTAAATTAATCCTTCTTAATTCTAATTGCACGCTTCTAAATCTTTGGGAGTTTATATGTACACAGTCATGTCCTTTAGAAATAAAAAGTGTTCCTTTCCAGTCTTTATATGACCTCAGGGAGATGGCATGTGATGTCAAGCTGTAGATTTCTTTGTAAGGCTTGTTTTGAGAAAATAGTGGCACCTGAAGAACTGGTGATTGATCTGTGGCACAACTACTGGTAAGGGTTAGTTGGTTAGGTCTTTGCTCTTACTGAATTACAAAGTAAATGCATTTCTCTTACTTTTGTTGCTCAACAATTAACCTCATCACTAGTGGCTAATAGACTAATTTATCTGCACAAATCTGGCGTTGTAGCATAAATTGCTCTCAACTTCACCAACATGAGACCAATTATTCTGCCTCTCGATCCGGTCTGATCCTGGATGTGATTCTCGTAGTGCGATTTCCAGCAGCAGTAGGCCTAAGGTATTGAATGCAGTGGTGGCCAATGGGAGGAACTGTCACGGGTAGGCGACTGAGAGAGGGCATGCTCTCTCTTATCTGTGGCTGGTCTTTTCCTAATGAGTTGCTCTTCCTCATGATCTTACAAAAGAAAATCACAACATGAGGAGGATACAGCAAAGGTCTTGATGTCTATGTTTTTCATTCTTTACATTTTATGACAGAAATGCGTGTTGGTAACTAAAGGGCTGGCGGAGAGAATCCAGGCAGATCAGAGAAACTTTCCGGTTAGTAAATAGTTTACTCCAAGACCTCTATGAAGACTTCCTCTTTTTATTTTCTGTCTATGCCTGTCCGTCATCGGATTCTGAGTATCACTCTCTTAGTCCCTTGACTCCGTCACTATGTTGCTTTATAAAACGAGGTAACATCTAAGACGCAGTACCCCTAGGGAATGAATGCAGATGCTGCTAACTAGGTTTTCATCTTCCAAAGAATGTTTTTCGTCTACGAAACAGATCAATATTATATTTTTTCTAAAGTCAATAGAAGAGGTTTAATTAAAAATCAAGGCAAAGCATTTACTATTTATCGTACATATGCTATATGCGTAGTATCACAGTAGATGGCTGACAGTGACTGAACATGTGACCTTGAGTCAGTCATTTGACTTTTTGGGTCCCAGTTTCCATAAGTACAATATTAAAAATTCACATACCTCTTAGTGGAAAAAATAATTCCACAACAGGAACATTTTATAAGGAAAAATATGAAAAGTATAAGCTTAAAAATACAGTACATTTAATGAGAAAGTTTCGAGTCCCATGAAGGTGTGTTAATTGCCAAGTCTCCTTCAAGTTCAGTAGGGTGTCTCCAGACTGATGAGAGCATGGCAATTATAACAATGCTGGGCTCTATGTTGGTACTTCAATTGCTTTAATGTCTTATCCGACTAATTGAATACACAATTACCAGCCAAAGCGGATTCTCTTCTCTTTAAGACTTATTTTGAGCCTAGAAATTTTGCTGTTATTTCTTCTTTAGAAATCCTTTCACAATTGCAGACAAGGTGGTTGAATCTCTAGTAATTTTTCTCTATTCCATATTCCACCTGATTAATTATTCTTCACTAGTGTGTCCCAGTTAGTAGAAGAAAAAAGAAATAAGGTATATAAATAGGAAGTTTGTTCGTATCAAAGTGCACGAGCACTAACCCAGATTTGTAATTCTTACCCATTTGTAATTTTTTATGTTATTTAAATTTTATTTTGAACATAGTTTTTAAGCACACTAAATGCTTTAGTAAAACACACAGAATCATTATAGCAACATAAATATAAGCCTGATGATAGCTTTTGGGATCATCTGCCTGGGTAAGAGTTCCAGCTTTGATTTTCCTGGTTGCGTGATGTTAGTTTCAGTGTCTGTAAAAGAGTGTGATCCTACTTCCTGGAATTAATGTAATTATTCAACAAAATATTATGTGCAAAACATAATGCGTGAAGTTCAAAGAAGATGTCCTGTCTCCTAGGGAGGCTGTAAAAACTGCCACAACACTGGTGTCTTAAACCAAAGGCAATTTATTCTCGGACAGTTCAAGAGGCCAGAGGCCCGACGTGAAGGTGTCGGCGGGTGTGGGGGTGGGCCTCTGGAGGCTCTGGGGAAGAATCATTCCTTGTGTTCTTCTCCGGTGTTCTTCAGACTGCCTTCTGTGTGTGTGCACATGTGTGTGCTGTCTCATCAGCACATATGCCCAGAATAACTTCCCATAATTTAATCCTTAATTCCATTGTGTCCCTGAAGATTCTTCTTTAGGTAATGTTTATAGATTCCAGATATCAGACCTCATGTCTTTGGGTGGCCATTATTTTCTTTTTTTTAAATTTTTTTTTAACGTTTATTTATTTTTGAGACAGAGAGAGACAGAGCATGAATGGGGGAGGGGCAGGGAGAGAGGGAGACACAGAATCGGAAGCAAGCTCCAGGCTCTGAGCCGTCAGCCCAGAGCCCGACGTGGGGCTTGAACTCTCGGACCGTGAGATCGTGACCTGAGCTGAAGTTGGACGCTTAACTGACTGAGCCACCCAGGCGCCCCATGGGTGGCCATTATTAAGCCTAATACAGAAAAGTAAGTGTTCCTAGTTATTATTCATTATGGGTGGTAGTCATAGTGGTGTTAGTAATAAGAGCAGTAGTAGTATAAAAATAGTGTATATTTAGAGACACTCTACTTCTGAATCTCATAAGGAAGGATGATGAATGAAAAAGGCTCACTTTATGTGACTTTGGAAATCGGTACTAGAAAAGGAAACATTATATGAATCCCAAGTCATCTAAGAATCAAATATTAAATATTTTGAGAGTTCCTCTATTGAGTTTAAAAAATAGCTTTAAAGGTGGAAGGAAAGAACCTAATATTGTTGAGTGCCTTCACTGTGTCTGGAAGTATGTACTAATAAAAATAACAATATCCTATATTTATGGGGACACTGTCGTAAATGCTTTTCATCTATTTCCTCATTTAAGAAACCCTATGAAGTGCTGTCATAAACCTTATTTTGCGACCAAGGAGACTGCGGCACAGATAAGTTGGCCACCTTGGTCAAGGTTGCGGAAAAATTAAAGCTGGAGCCTGTATTTGGAGCCAGGTACTCTGGCTTCAGAGTTCAAGCTCACAACTGCTTCATAACACTGCCCCTTACATGCAATAGTCTCTATGTAATTTGGGGAAACTTTAACTACTGTATCTGTAAAATGATAGCTGTGACATTTTTCTGTATTTTCCAAAAGGTTTGCAGAATACTCAGGAATAGTTTAGTTCCTCCCTTGCTGGGTTGGGATGCTTCTAGAACACACTCAGCGGCATGATTATATCCTTTCCTTCCCTGAGAAGTTTTCTTCATTTCCTTACGTCAGTGTCCTCCCTTTGCCCAACTTACTGCCATCTCTTGGTACTGGCTGAGAATAGAGATTTCTGGGGTGGGTGCCAGGAAAATCTGGCTTGTATAAAGTCCATGAAAAGCCCTTCTCTGATAGTTAGGTATGACCCAGGGATCTCTTGGCTGTGAGGAGTGGACTACTTGGGCAGTGGAGCCTCCCTGGAGTCTTCTTATCAGGTGTCTCTGCCTTAATTTATGTTGCTCTGAATTTGGAAACCCTGTTTACAGGAGAATGAATACTGGTAGTTACAAAAAAGAAGCTCCAAAATGGTGAAAGCCACCAAAGCACATGCGTTTATCTTAAGATTGTATTATCTTTACAATGCATCTGTGTTTTAAATTCATTGACATTGGGGTGCCTGGGTAGTTCAGTTGGTTAGGTGGACAATTCTGGATTTCGGCTCAGGACACGATCTCATGGTTTGTGAGTTTGAGCCCTGCTTGGAATTCTCTCCCTCCTCCAAATAAGTAAACATTCAACAAATTTTGAATTCGCCAACAGTCACATGCACTCACACTCCTAGCCCATCTACTCCACCCATCCTCCTGCTACACTGAGTGAATGGTTTTTCCTTCTTTCTAAGACCATACATACCCTGGATCGTATCCCTTTGTACCTAGCCAATGACAGCATGCTTGCAATTGCCCCCTCTCTCTTCTGAATCTTCAATTTGTCCTTTTCTATTATACCTTTCAAACAATAAAACGGGCACCCTACAGTTTGTGTAATATTAAGAAATAAGTTTCCTTTGACCAACATCTCTCTCCTTCTCTAGCTACTTCTCTATTTCTTTTCTCCCCTTTAGGAACAAGACTCCTAGAAGTGTCATTTTTCAGTGTATCTATGTGCTTCCCACCCTTTTTTCCTTAAATCGACTGCAGTCCATTTGTAACACTGACATTGCTCTTTTCAAGGTAACCAGTGGCGATGACAAAGGTGTCAAATCCAAAGGTCATCCCTCAGTGTTCATCTTGCTTAATCTATCAGTGGTTTTTGACACCGATGATCCGTCCCTTCTTTTGACATACTTTCCTAATCAGGCTCTGGGTCACATCTAATGTCAGTCAACTAGGGCTTTCCTAAGCCCCCCCCACCCCCATATAGACTAGGGGGGCTTAAACAACAGAAATTTAACTTCTCACAGTTCTGGAGGCTGGAAGTCCAAGGTCATGGAAAACCCTAAGAGTTAAGTGGACACAGCATGTACAATGACAGCTTTGATTCTTTCTGCCGTTGTCCACCTTTAAAAAAACCTTTTAAAGGGGCCAAAACACATTTTTTGCATTTTAATATAATTGGCATACAATATCCTATTAGTTTCAGGTGTTCAACACAGTGATTTGATATTTTTATACATTACATTTTTTTTTCAACGTTTATTTATTTTTGGGACAAAGAGAGACAGAGCATGAACGGGCGAGGGGCAGAGAGAGAGGGAGACACAGAATCGGAAACAGGCTCCAGGCTCGGAGCCATCCGCCCAGAGCCCGACGCGGGGCTCGAACTCACGGACCGCGAGATCATGACCTGGCGGAAGTCGGACGCTTAACCGACTGCACCACCCAGGCGCCCCTATACATTACCAAATGGTGTCCGTGGTAAGTCTGGTTGCCATCTGTCGTCATACAAACTTATTACAGTATTACTGATTATATTCCATATGCTGTACATTACATCCCTATGACTTACTTCATAACTGGAAGTTTGTACTTCTTAATCCCTTTCACTTATTTGCCCAACCTCCACCCCTTCTGGCGACCAATATGTGTTTCTTGTATCCATGAGTCTGTTTCTATTTTGTTTGCTTGTTTTGGTTTTTCAGTTGCACATGGAAGTGAAATCATATGGTATTTGTCTTTCTCTGACTTATTTCATGGAGCATAATCACCTCTGGGTCCATCAGTGTTGTTGCAGATGACAAGATTTTCCTTGTTTTTGTCTGTGTAACATTCCATTGTGTATGTATATACCACACCTTCTTTATCCATTCACGTATCTATCAGTGGATACTTTGGTTGCTTCCATATTTTGGCTATTGTGGATAATGCTGCAAGGAACATAGGCATGCAGAGATCTCTTCAAATTGGTCTTTTGTTTTCTTTGGATGAATCTCCAGAAGTGGAACTGCTGGATTTTTGCTAGTCCCATGTCTATCACTCTTTTAATTTTTGGTAACAAAAATAGGCTCTCTGGTTCATAATGGCAAACTGGTTGGCTTTTATTTACATTTTACTAGGTCTGCCTATTTGAGTGTTTAAATTGAGTATTTGTTAAAATATAAATTGAGCCTGGTTCACAATGACACATATTGGCTTTTGGTAGAGGTTAGTATTTACATTTTATTAGATCCACTATTTCGAATGTGTGTCAACATGACTGAATCCATCTTTGACACTTGCCATTCAGCAAAAACCAAGGACTGAAGTCTTGAAAGTTTGTTTGGAGGTTCCCAACAGAGCATAGGTCTACCTGGGAAAGTTGCCCTCTCCCACAGAGCACTAGTTGTATGAAAGATACACGTAAATAGTCAAGGAAGGAGGAGGCATGTCACATTAGCCAAACTAGAACTCTTACCCCGAGTGTTAGCTACTACCTTTAGGGTCAGAGAACCCTCATTATTCAATGAGGTTTTAGAAAAATACATTGAGGTGAGGGAATGGTTTGCTTCTTATAACAGAAATATAGCTTTTATTTATTTTTTTTAATGTTTATTTCATTTTTGAGACAGAGAGAGACAGAGCATGAACGGGGGAGAGTCAGAAGGAGAGGGAGACACAGAATCTGAAGCAGGCTCCAGGCTCCGAGCCGTCAGCACAGAGCCTGACGCGGGGCTCGAACTCACGGACTGTGAGATCATGACCTGAACCGAAGTCGGACGCTTAACCGACTGAGCCACCCAGGCGCCCTGAAATATAGCTTTTATATTCATATATCAGAGAGAATGACAAGTCCTTGAAGATGGTGTTGGTTTATATATTCCTACAGATAGATAGGTAGCTAACTCTCCCAACAGTGTCTGGCAGATAGTATTATATAAGTGTTAGTTCTACTTATGATCTTTGATAAAATACTTCTTGTTATTGTCTCCTCATTAATTCAGGTCACTCGATGCCACCGTCACATTAGCACATTTTTAGCATAAAAAATAAAATTTGGTTTTAAAATTGCATCTTTTTTTTTGAGTTTTCAAAGGCATTGCTTTATGACAGACGTTTGGTCACAAAGGCCTTAATTCTGGCATGATACAATGAAATCCTAATTTGCTCATTATTTTGGGAAAGCTCAAAGACTACAGGATATTCAAAGAAAACCTTTAAATCTTTGATTGGCTGTTTAGTAAGTCTGGTTATAAAGAAGAAAAGAGTGACAGAATTGCAGATCACAGTTTCTTCCCTTAGAGTACAAAAAATCTATTCGGAATAAATATTTTAAAGACAGGCTACTACTGGGGTTAAGCCAGGAAGTCATTTCCATGCTGAGTTTCTCCTTTTTCTTTTTCTCTGTCTTTTGTGTGACTGGGACTTTGTTCTTTCCAAACTTCTTAACTTGATTATGCCTGCAAGCAATCCCAATCATGTGCTACCATGTTCTAATCAAAATATTTTACTTTTATTCCTTGCTATCCCTCCAGAGCACTGTCTGAAATCTAGACCCTCATATTTTGCACGAGAAAACAGATTTTTCTCCATTAGAAGGAAATCATTATATATTTAACATTTTAATATTTATGATATCACAATATGATATGATATATCGTTCTGTATTTAATATTTTATTAAATATTAAAATTTAAACATGTTTTCAATTTAAGCGAATCTTAAGGAATCCACATAGACGGTTATAAAATGACAGAATTAGTGTGATTTGACCTACTTGGGGTTAGCTTGAAGATTAATCTATTTACTAATATTTGTCTTCATAAAGATTTGATGGCGATGGTGTTTAGAAGTCACATGAGTGTTGTATAATTTATGAGAGTAATATTTTAAAATCATATGTCACTTTTTTTCCTATGGGTGAAGTTAGTCTTCAGTATCCTAAGGATTCTAGCAATTTCCTGATAAAGCAGGCACTCTTATGGGAAATAGAAACGCTAGGTGACTTGGGCAAGCATTGTAACAAGGGACCTCGTCACTCTGACTCCACATTCTATTATGTATTCTCCAAATTCTATCGCTGTCTTGTATAACACTTTTTCAAGTACCTACAGTAATTTTTCAGGTTTCTCTGTATTATATTTTTTTATTTTTATATCCCCCAGGACTTAGGAATAAACCTTGAACATGGTGGATAACTTTTCATGATAATTATTTAAAAATTTAAATTATTTAAAGCTCATGATAATTATTCATTACTTACCACTTAAACGTTTCATTATTTAAAAACTAAGTTTTATTAATAAAACATATAAAATAATGGATAGGTGACGATCATCATTAATTATAAATCCTTGTTGTATCTTGACTACTTGATGGCAGATTCATGTTTAAAATGACTTTCGGACTGGGAACCCCCAAACCCTTGGCTATATCACCTTCCTGGGTAGGATTTGATTTTAAAAACGTCGCGTCTGCTTTGAAAAAAGGAACACATATGTGTACCAGAAAGACATGGTAAGGTAGAATAGGCTTCTAGTCACCACCTTTTCATTTAATTTCTTTATTTTTAACGCTGACAATCATTCTTTGTGGCAGCTTATGTATAGTGTGCAATAGTTTGTTTTAGACAAGATTTCTATTGGGGGGACTTAAAAGTAAATCTTTTCTATGATGAAACATAAAATGAGCAGAAATAAGACATGGCATGATTAGTGGTAATGTGAAAATGCTAGATTCAAACGCAAAATTACCAGAACAGTTTGGGCAATCAATACTTGGGGGAACAGGACGCCTGACTGTTTTCTCCCTACCTGTGAGAAGGATTCACTTCTGCTCTCAGGGCCTGGGTCCCAGACACCGGCTTTGGGGAGGTAAATCCCACAGCCAGTCACTGGGGCTGAGAAAGCACTGTTTGGAGCATCTACAGTTCCTTCCCTGGGAGGTGTTGGGATGGACGGGATTCACAGTCGCTTCTGGATTCCTTTGTGCTCCTGGGGCTGACAGGATGCTGGCAAGAAACCAAGAGGTTGGGGCGCCTGGGTGGCTCAGTCAGTTGAGCGTCCGACTTCGGCTCAGGTCATGACCTCACGGTCTGTGAGTTCGAGCCCCGCATCGGGCTCTGTGCTGACGGCTCAGAGCCTGGAGCCTGCTTCCGATTCTGTGTCTCCCTCTCTCTCTCCCCCTCCCCTGCTCATGCTCTGTCTCTCTCTGTCTCAAAAATAAATAAACGTTAAAAAAAAAAAAAAAGAAACCAAGAGGCTATTTACCTATGTAGCTTTCTCTTTCCCGCGGTGTTAAATCTGGAAGCATCGTCTATAACGTTCTTTTCTGAAAACGGCCGAAGAGTGACAGAAATGACAGTGGTAGAGAGGGAGGAACTCAAGAAAAGGGTTTGTCTGCGTGTTGTCCTTTCTTACAGGGCCACTGAGGGAGCCTGGGGGTACGCAGGGCTCTGGGCTGGCTGCTACGGATCACCCCAGCAGAGAGGGAACGTCCTCCAGCACCTTCCTTGCAAAGCGAGGAGATAAGACATGGGCAACCGCAGTGCTTGAAACACAGGCAGAGAGCACGTGATCCAATGCTTCGCTAGCCTGGGAGCCAAGTGCACACCCCGCTCGCGTGCACGCGTGTGCTTGAAGGGCGAGGGCCAAGCCGCCCAGAGTCGCGAGGAGAAAAGCGAGCGCTTCCTGGATGGTTGCCAGGAACCCTTCCAAATGCTTTGCACACGTAACCCATTTACTCTTTTTACGAGTCCTCCGAGGTCCCGTTGTGGTCCCAGGCGCTATGAAGCACCAAAGACTGGGTGACACAGGCCAGCTCGGTGGGAGAGCCAGTGTTGAGCCCGGAGTGGGGTGCTCTCCGTCCTCCCTGTGCCGTGGGGTGACTTCCCCCAGGACTGCAAAGAGGAGGGGAGCCTTTCTGCCATGGAGGATCTAGCTGGAGAGAAGGCAAGGAAGAGGTGAAGTTTCAAGCCAGGAAGCTTAGGAGGTGTTGCATTTCTTCTTGCTGAAGTTCGACAAGCCCGATGTCGAGAAGAGCAGGCTTACACAGGCCCACGGAGCTGGATGGGGGGCCCCCCCGAGCCTCCTTGACTTCCTGCTCGGAGGTGGGGTGCTGAGGCGCTCTCCCTGGCCAGCCTTCACCTTGGGTTTGGGGTCGGGGAGGAGGGCGTGGGGCTCAGTGGACATCTGAGCTGCAGGAGACAAGACGCAGGCGAGCCTGCCTTCCCTCCACAGGTCTGAGGCTTGATTTTCTCTTCGTCTGTCAGAAATAAGTCTGTACACCCGGCTGATTTTGCAGAAGACACCGCGGGTCCGGCGGGCTGTGTGGATGACCCGCTTAGCCGGGGAGCCAGGGCTCGAATTTGGCTCCCTTGAGTCCTCATTCACAGTTGTTTCTACCGCCGCTTGTTCATCTTGCCCTTCATGGCTTTTCTGCTCCTTAATTGCCCTGTGGTCACTTTTGATTAGTCTTTTCCTTCTTGAGAGTTCGTGTGTTGTAATAATAACGTAAGACCTTATTCTAGATGATTTCTAACGTTAACACAAATTGCTTAACATACAGACTGTTACTGGTACATTGTCAGGCGTTAAGTGACCTCAAATCATGTAAAATATCCCTCTGTGCCTGTTTTCTGTTGCCGCGTGGCTAGAACTACCACAAACTACCTGGCTGGAAACAACGCCCGTTCCTGAACCCACTGCTCTGTGGGACGGGGGAGGCCTGGCAGGTGGCAGTGGCTGAGTTCGTCCCTGGAGGCCCCGGAGAAGCACCTGTTCCCGGGCCATCCGGGTTGTCACAGAATTCAGAGCCAGGTAGTTGTAGGAAGGAGGCTCCTGCTTCCTCGCTGACTCTTAGTCGGGACTCATTCTCAGCTGCTGGAGCCCCTCTCTGGTGGGAGGCGGCCCCTCTCCATGGTCACAGCCAGCCCTGGCCCACCAAATCCTTCCATGCTTTCCGGCTCTCCGACTTCCCCTTCTGCGGGGCGAAGTAGAGAAAACTCTACTTGTGAAGGGCCCATGTGATTCTGTCAGTCCCGCCCAGACACTCTCACTTTCACTAACTGCAAGTAAACGGATTCGTTAACTTGAACTCCATCTGAAAAAATTCCTTTTGCATTTGTGATACAGTCACAGGCATGATGTTTCGTTATGTGCAAAGTCTCATCCCTGGGGAGTAGATCCAGCGGGAGGCCGTCTTAGCATCCTGCCTGTCATAGCCTCCCAAGTCTGTAATTCTTCACTTCTAGTATATATACAAATATATTTATGGTCTTGTAATATTGTTTTAATGCATTACATCTTTCTCAATAAGATTTTATATGAGCACTTAGTAGGAAATTGATACACTACTTCTGAATGCTCGTTAGTTTTAGAATACCAATGTTTGCTATTATTCCATTTATATTACGCAGAATACATGCTTGTATGTTACTATAAAGCAATCAAATACTATTCTAAAACCTACAGATTAGTAGCAACTTTTTGATGTGTGGAAATCTGTAATATATGCTCACAAATGGGAACAGAAAACTTGAGAGTAATATTTATAAAATCCAGTTGAATACATGAATACTTGATGTATATTCCTACTAAAGTTTTTAAAGGAGAAATTAGCAAGATAGAAAAGTACGATTTTTGTTCATTTTACGGTATGTTAGTAATATGAAAACTATGACTCATGAATCAATCAGTTGCCAAACTTTAAAGGGTAGACTGCATTGCTGTTTAGCAATGTTATTTTCATTTCTTTAGAAGTTTACAGAAATAACAATATGTTGTCCTGAGAAGGCACACAAAAGTAATTTATTTAGTTGTTAGGAGAAACTATTTTTGTTTCCTTAAATGACTGAGCTGTAACAAAGTCCCAGCTGCAAATATGCAAATGCCATGGTTACCCCCGTGAATTGGGCTTTTGTAATATCCTGAATTCCAAGAAAAAATAACAAGCAAGACGTTAAGGGTAAATGTTTGCAACATGTTGCCTAAAACCGCTCTGGGAATAAACTGTAGGGCTGTATATGGCAAATTAGGAAAATTTCACATATTGAGAGTTTTTAACCACTCTCAGGATTAAAGGCACTTTTGAAACCTTGAAAGTACAGAAAATCCTTTCAGGATATCTTTCAAAAATATGGCTAAAGCCATGTGTCTTCAGCTGTTACTTTCGTTCAGTGACAAATTTCATCCAAATTTTTCTTTGTAACATCTTCGTTGTGTTAAAAAAATACATTTTCAGTTTTTCCTTAAAAATACAAATAGGTTTCCATAGCAGAATTTTTGAAGTCTGATCTTTATTACAGATCATATGCTCCAGATGGTGCCTCCAAGCCTAAAAGTATTTCCCCAAATAGACAAGAAGTGTTAGAACTTTCACCTGTGTAAAAGAATATTGGGACCCAGAAGATTTAGCCATTTTTAAATTAAGAGCCACCAACGTTTTTCTGAGCGCTCATTAAGGACCAGACTACCCAAGTTCAGTCCTCATGATAATTGTTTAGGGTAAGGCATCATTATTTGCTACGCTGTGCAAGCTGAGATGGTCCTTTTGGATCTGGGATTCAAACTTATGTCTGCATGCGTCCGGAACCCCAAATTTTAATCACTGTACTTACTGCCACTGTCTGACTCATCAGTTCCCAGGTGGAACAGCCTCTTCTTTATTTCAAATTTACCCTCCTCCAGAGCCCCGCTCTTCCCCATGAGAGGTGCAGGCAATGACCTTTCACGGGGTGCCCTTCCACCAAGATGTGCATTCTGAGGCATTCCAAGCGGAGAACTCAACTTATCAGTGCGTTTTCCTCTGAAAGGGGAATTAAAATGTAAACAGTCGGCTGATAGTTGGAGACTACTGCACCTTTCTCTTTAAAAGCAGATAAGGTTTTCCAAAGGAACACAAAAGCAAGTTTAGAGTACCGGGTTCTTAGGATACAGTTCCATCCTGATTCCATGGGATCCATCAGTCCATCAGGCAGGTTTTCATTCAATTTCTCATTTACTGTTTGGTTTACTGAAGTCCATGGAAATGGAACTTTGTCCCTAATGCCAACACCTGCTGACTTTCAGATTGTACGGCCTCACCTTTCTGACTGCTTTGTTTGCGCTTCGTATTTCTGGCCTATTCTCTGCTTTGGTAATTGCCGGTGTCTTTGCCCGTTAGCCTCAGTCCTGCTGCTGCCATATGGAGAGCCTGGTGACTGGCAGCTTTTGTAGAGAGAGGTAGCACCTGGGGGCTCCCAGGACCATTTTCATTTCACAATGACTCAGTGGGGAGCTGGAACTTGACAGCCAAGAAAGAGGCAGTGAATTTCAAAATGGTGGAGGGTTTTTCAAAAGACCTTTCATTAACCATTTGGAAATCTCTGTATTTGAAAAGACCTGGGGTACAGGAGGACTCCTCACTGTGTGTATGTGTCTCTGTGTGTGTGTGGGGGGGGTGTGTGTACCACTAGAATCAGAAGGAAAGAGGACACCTTGCAAACCCTCTTGGCTTTATTTTCCCTTTCCATTGTTAATAGTAGAACTAGATCTAACAGGCATTACTTGAACTCTTGAGCCATTTATGTTCTTAAGTAAGCATGCTTGTTTCATTATAAACTAAACGCATATTTAGTGCAGACACCTTGTTAAAATGAAGAGAATTCAGATATAAACTATCAAACCCAAAACAAATCCCAACACTCCGAGAACATTGTCTTGCTAACACTTGGCATATTTCCATTTAGTGCTGACTGATCCAGAAGTCATTATCTTTTAAGTTTCCCAGCCACTACATGGCACAGACACACGCTGGAATGAAAATCCAGCATTCTGTTTGTATTGCTGTTTCCAATGGCGTCAGGAGAAACAAGAAAATTGTGGCACTTGGTAGAAAAGCATCATACTTGAAGAATGCAATTCTAATTTTGAAGTTAATTACAATAGATTAGATGGAACATTTATATGCTCTGTTTGTGCTATCTTTTGGGTATCTCCAACTCATCTTTTGCAAATTAAAATGTCCAAATGTCATATGGTTTCAAGAAATGGGTCAATAAAATTATATCGCTTTTAAATTTCGTATGCATTTACTCAGTTTAAAGGGGTTAGGGAAGATTGGGGTAGCCTTTGCGCAAACTGGCACATTGGTGAATTATGCTTTTGGTTTCTTTTCTCAAACTTCCCTGGGGTTTTCTGTGAATAGTGTAACCTCCTGACACTTCTCAGACCCTCTTTGGTTCCTTTCATTTGTGCATGTGTGTGTATACACACCCATGTATATACATACACATACACAGATATAAATACAGATCTGGATACAAATGTATGCATGGGTGTATTTTTTTCTAGGAAGAATTTAGTTTAGTTTCTAGCCCAACAGAGACGCAACCAATGGATTTATACTTTGGTGCCTTTAGGCACCTCAATTACAGTCTCTCCCAGACTTAAGCCGTGACCAACCCTGGACTCAACATCTCCGTATCCCCCTGGCCATATTTTCCTTCTTGGTAAGTGCTGATGCCATTGTTCTGGTAATCCAGATTTGAAATTTGGGAGTAGCCTTTGATATTCATTTATGCCTCCATATTCAGTAGCTTATTAACCATGATTTTATCTCTAATCCTTCAGTCCATTCTTCTCTCCTCAGCTTTAATTTAGGTTTTTGGCAAGTCTTCCTTGGATCATGGCAGTAATTCCCTTTATTAGGCAGCATCTGACAGGAAACAATGGTATACACAAATTGGGCATTCTGAAGAGACTTTAGTTCAGGGACTGTTACAAAGGTTTGGGGATGGTGTAGAAAAAGACACAGAAAAACTGCAGCATCCTGCGCTTAGCCTTGTCCCGTGACTTTATCTCGCCTGAAGGGTAACAGGAGAGAACAAATATCAGACATAGATCCGGACATACAGAGAGCTGTGGAGAGAGGCATTTAACAGAATTGTGGCCTTAAGATGGAGGCTGGCAGTCCTCTGCAGATCTGTAGGTAGGAAGCTGGGGAGTAGATACTGTCATTTTGTTCTCCTTCCTCCCTTCGGGATCTTGCTGCTGCTCCGCGCTGGCTGAAGCTAACTGGAAGTCCAAGGGCAAAGGAGCCGTTGTCTTCTAGTTTCAGTTCCTGTAGGTCAGCACAGGGCCAGGTGGAAAATGGCTAGAAATGGATCCCAAGGGCAAACAGAAACTACTCCAGCCTCCTTTCACTGTCTTGCTCTACCTCCCTCCACTCTAAACGAACAAGATACAAGAAGTCTTCCTATTGTCACATTCCATCCTAAATGTGAGACAGAAAACTATTAAACTCCTAGAGGAGAACACAGGCAGGAACTTCTTTGACATTGGCAGTAGCGACTTCTTTCTAGATACATCTCCTGAGGCAAGGGAAGCGAAAAAGTAAACTATGGGGACTTCATTAAAATAAAAAGCTTCTGCACAGTGAAGGAAATAAAAACAAAACCAAACGGCAACCTACAGAATGCGGGGAGATATTTGCAAATGACATATCTGATAAAGGGTTCGTATCCAAACTACATAAAGAATGTATAAAAGTCAACGCTCAAAAAATGTGTAATCTAATTTAAAAATGGGCAGAAGGCATGAATAGACATTTTTCTGAAGCAGACATACTGATGACCAGCGGACACATGAAAAGATGCTCCCCGTCACTCATCAACAGGGAAGAACAAATCAAAACCACAAGGAGACACCACTTCCCACCTTTCGGAACGGCTAAAATCAACAACCCAAGAAACAACCGCTGCTGGCGAAAATGTGGAGAAAGGGCAACCCTCTTGCATTGTTGATGGGAATTCAAACCAGTGCAGCCACTCTGGAAAACAGTATGCATGTTCCTCAGAAAGTGAAAAATAGAACTACCCTGCAACCCAGCAAATGCACTACTAGGTATTTACCTAAAGAGTACAAAAATGCTAATTCAAACCTATGGCCTACCCCAGAATTTAAAGAGTGTCAATTGTACAGCATTCTACAGATAAAAAGCATGTAAAAAAAAAAAACAACCCTGTTTATAGCAGCATTATCTATGATAGCCAAATTATGGAACTTGCCCAAGTATCCACCAGCTCTGGATAAAGAAGTAATGGCGGATTAAATGGATACAATTCCAATACAATGGAATATTACTTAGCCATTCAAAAGAATGAAATCTTGCCATTTGCAATGACATGGATAGAGCTAGGAGGATAATGCTAAGTGAAATAAGTCAGAGAAAGACAACACCAACTGATTTCACTTATATGGGGATTTTAAGAAACAAAACAAATGAACAAAGGGAATATTTTGATTACTGATTTGATTTTTGTGCTGATTACCAGTGTGTTCACATTTTCTATTTCTTCCTTTTTCAGTTTTGGTAGTTTATAAGTTTCTGGGAATTTATCCAGTTCTTCTAGGTTGTCCAATTTGTTGCCATTTAGTTTTTCATAATGTTCTCTCGTAATTTTTGTATTTCTGTGGTGTTGGTTGTTTTTTCCTCCTCTCTCATTTGTAATTTGTTTACTTGGGTCCTTTCTCTTGTCTTTTTGATAAGTCTGGCAAGGGGTTTATCAATTTATTCATTTTTTTAAATTTAAAAAAAATTTTTTTTTTTCCAACGTTTTTTATTTATTTTTGGGACAGAGAGAGACAGAGCATGAACGGGGGAGGGGCAGAATCGGAAACAGGCTCCAGGCTCTGAGCCATCAGCCCAGAGCCTGACACGGGGCTCAAACTCACGGACCGCGAGATCGTGACCTGGCTGAAGTCGGACACTTAACCGACTGTGCCACCCAGGCGCCCCCCCTTTTTTTTTTTTTTTTTTCCCCAACGTTTTTTATTTATTTTTGGGACAGAGAGAGACAGAGCATGAACGGGGTATTTTTTTAAATTTTTTTAAAAGAACCAGTTCCTGGTTTTATTGCTCTGTTCTATTTACTTATTTATTTTTGGTTTCTATATCATTTATTTCTGCTCTAATCTTTATGATTTACCTCCTTCTGCTGGCTTTAAGCTTTATTTGTTGTTCTTTTTCTAGCTCTTTTTTGTGTAAGGTTAGGTTTTTTCTTGCTTCTTAAAGTAGGCCTCTCTTGGTATAAACTTCAATCTTAGAATCACTTTTGCTGCATCTCAAAGGTTTTGAACTGTTGTGTTTTCATTTTCATTTGCTTCCATGTATTTTTTCTTTCTTTTTTTATTTCCTGGTTGACCTATTCATTGTTTAGTAGCATAACCTCCTTATATTTGTGGTCTTTCCAAATTTTTTCTTGTGGTTGACTTCTAGTTTCATAGCATTGTGGTCAGAAAAGGTACATGGTGTGATTTCCATCTTTTTCTATTTGCTGTAGCATGTTTTGTGACCTAATATGTGATCAATTATGCAGAATGTTCAATGTGCACTTTAAATAAGTGTGTATTCTGCTGTTTTAGGCTGGAATGCTCTGAATATGTCTGTTAAGTCCACCTGGTCCAGTGTGTCATTCATAGCCATTGGTTCCTCCTTGATTTTTCTGCTTAGGTGATCTGCTCCTTAGCGTAAGTAGGGTGTTAAGGTCCCATACAATCATTGTGTTATTATCAATTAGTTCCTTTATGTGCATTATTAACAGTTTTACATATTTGGGTACTCCCATGTTAGGTTCACAAATATTTGCAATTGTTATATCTTACTGTTGGATTGAGCCCTTTATGATTATACTGTTCCCTTCTTTGTCTCTTTTTAGTCTTTGTTTTAAAGTCTAGTTTTTCCACTCTAAGTATTGGTACTCTGACTTTCTTTTGACATCCATTTGTGTGATAAATGTTTCTCTACCCCTTCACTTTCAATCTGCAGGCATCTTTAGGTCTAAAATGAGTCTCTTGTAGGCAGCATATAGAAGGGTCTTGTTTGTTTTTTTTTATCCATTCTGACACCCTATATCTTTTGATTGGAGTGTTAATCCACTTACACTCAGAGTAATTATTGATAGATATGTATTTATTGCCATTTTATTACTTGTTTTGTCCTTGTTTTGGAGATTGTCTCTGATCCTTTCTTGTCTTTGTCAGTTTTGGTCTCTCTTATGACCTCAAGGAGACCCCTTTAATATTTCTTGCAGAGCTGGTTTAGTGGTCATGAACTCCTTTAATTTTTCTTTGTCTGGGAAACTCTTTGTCTCTCATCCTATTCTGAATGACAGCTTTGCCAGATAGGGTATTCTTGGCTGCAGATTTTTTCCATTCAGCACTTTGAATATATCATGCCACTCCCTCTGGCTTGTCAAGTTTCTTTTGCGAAATCTCCAGCTCCCCTTATGGGTTTTCCCTTGTAAGTTAAAGACTTCTTTTGTCTTGCTGCTTTTAGGACTTTTTCTTTATCACTGTATTTTGCAAAAGTAATTACGATAGGTCTTGGTGTTGGCCTGCTTTTGTTGATTTTGGTGAGAGTAGTTGTGTGTCTCCTAGATCTGGATGTCTGTGTCCTTCCCCAGATTAGGAAAGTTTTCTGCTATTATTTCTTGAAATAAATTTTCTGCCCCCTTTTCTCTCTCTTCTTCTTGGAGTTCTATGATATGAATTATATTATGTTTGATGGAGTCACTGAGTTCCCGAAGTCTATTCTTGTGTTGCATAATTGTTCTTTTTCTCTTTTGTTCAGCTTCATTATTTCTATATTTTGTCTTTAAGGTCTTAATTCATTCTTCTGCTTCTTCCAGCCTTCTGTTGCTTGCATCAAGACTGTTTCCAATCTCATTTATTGCATTCTTCACTTCTTATTGATTCAGTCGTGATTCTTTAACTTTGTGGTAAGGGTCTCATTGATGTCTTCTTTTCTCGAGCTCAGTGAGTATCCTTATGATTGTTGCTTTAAATTTCCCATCAGGCACATTACTTACAACTATTTCACATAGATCTCAGGCTTGGGTCGTATCTTGTTCTTTCATTTGGTATAAATTCCTCCCTCTTGACATGTTGTCTAAGTCTCTGCCTTCTTCTTTGTGTTAGAAAAGCCCGTTATGTCTCCTGCTCCTGCAAGTAAGTAATTGTCTAATGAAGACGAGATCATATGACCTCGAGATCATAGTGACCAGAGCCTGATACTTCAGGGAGTGTCTCCAGTGTGTGGTGCATGTGCTCTGCTGTTCTGTGCTACTCTGTCCTTCAGGCCAGTCATCTGCAGAGGCTCTCTTTTTCTGCTGTGGGCATTGTTTAGTCCCTAGGCTGAACGTGGCAGGTTTTAAGTAGGTGTGCTCTGGTGTGCTTGTGAAATGAGACCTGACACCACTTCCATGAGAACTGGGCCCTCTAGAGCTCTCTGGTCAGGAGATGTGATGTGGGTAGAGGGCCTGCTGCACTGGGACTCAGGCAAACTTGACCGAGATAGACAGTGACGCCAGGGCACCGGGGATGAGGTTCAGTGCGAGCACGTTAGGTAGCCGGTGTGAGCTCCGTGCTTCTTCTCACAGGTGGATCTGTTTTTACGCTGAAGAGCAGAGGAGGTAAATGGCACCAGTCAGCTTTTTATGGGAAAGGTGTCTCCACGAATGCTGCCTCTCAGGAACATGCTCCAAGAAGAGTGAATAATCTCTCCACTGTGTGCCCCAAGCATTTTTCAGATTGCTATTTCCATGCTCTCTGCCCCTGGGTTGTTTGCCTGTATTCTCTCCAGAAACGGTACAGCACCCTTCATGTTCTATCTCAGCCAAGCTTGCTGACGTTTACAACCCCTGGCTTTAAGCTCTGCTAGTAGAAGAATTAATGAAATTTGGCCTTTCTCATTTTTCAATGGCTTTGTAGAAATATTCTTCTTGTGTGTTTCACTGTGTGTTCCTTTCTCTCTCATCCTTCTCCATGACCATGACTCCCCTCCCTCTGCAGCACACATAACTCTTTTCTCTCCTAAGCCGTGTCTACACTTTCTGCCTTCTTCAGTATGCGCTCCTTTCCCTTTGGTTGTGGAGTTTGGTCTGTCAGTCTTTAGGTCAGTTTCCAGGGTACTTAGGATGATTTGATAGCTATCTGGTTGTGTTTGTGGGACAAGATGAGGCTTACCACCATATTTCAACTTTTTATTTATGTATACTTTTTATGCTATTATCAAAAGCAATTTTACACTAATTTATTGAGAATGTATCCCATGTGGGTCCAGAGTTGTGTGCCATGCTGATGATGGGTTGGAAACTTAAATCCAAGGTGGGATCCAAGTGCCATTAATCCCAAACTGCACAAGAGTCATGGTCTTAATTGGTGACCAGCAATTGAGGAGAGCAGAGCAGGGTGGTTAAGGGGGGATATCTCTTCTTATAGGAACTAAAAGGCATAATTTGTGTTTAGGATGGCTGTCTCAAGGAGATAAACCTTTGCCCAAAACCAGGGGCTCTTTTTGTTTTTTTTCTTTCATTAAATTTAAAGTATTAGACCCATTCCTCAAGGCCAGAACTCAGTGTTGAAAAAATTGAGCAGTTATTGAAGAAAGTCAATAACATGTGACCTTGTTTTTTAGTCTAACCAGGCACAGAGTAACAGATTCATGAAAAATGGGGCTTTGAGAACATTGCACACACAGGACAGGAAGGCAGAGAATTCGTATGGTTTTAAGGGAGGCAGCTCCTGGGCAGTTGTCCAGGTATGATGGTTGTTACCTGGTGATGTCAGAAGCGTCTCCATACATTTAAGATTTTGGGAGCTTCCCTCAACCCCCCGAGGAACAAGTTGAAATAAAGAATGTTTAAAGTAGTGAACAGCTAGCTCTCCAGAAGTTCTCCTGGAAACAGCACACAAACACTCTTGTTCTTCGTTTCCCTTTAAAGATTGCTGGTTTCTCTCATTTTTGCCTATGCTATTCTTGCTCTTGGATTCATCCTTATACCTTAATTAGTCTGTTTGTGATTTGTCTCACCTTTGTTTCCTGTCTCCTACCACTTCTCTTCACCACTATCACTATGTTGGTCCGTTACCTCAATTCACCTTAGCTTCCTGCTCCCCACCTCTAGATTCCGCCTACTTTTCTCCTCTCCTTCTTCTCATATTTTGATCAGCCGCAACATTTAACCTGTAGGAAGTGAGATGGTAGGCTGCCACAACACCAAAATAGGTTTTGTGACTACTGTATATCATTCTTATTAGTTATTACTCCCTTGTACATGAAAATTGAGGCTGGGAAACTGGAGACCGTAGCTGGGATCCTTCTTGAGGCCTCAGACTCAGACAGCGAGTCTTAGCTGAGCATGGTTTCTTTCCACAGGGGATATTTGTTGCAACTGGCAAAGCATCTAGAGGATAGAGCCCAGGGGTGCTACTAACCATCCTGTAATCCACAGGACATCACATCTCCCAACACAGAGTTATCCAGCTTCAATTATCAACACAGCTAACGTTGAAGACCCCGGTCTTGGGAACACTATATTCCATTGGATTTCCTGAGGTGTCTTTCCAAAGAGAAGCCTTTATTTCCAGGTCTTTCTTTACCACCCTGTCCCTACTGTCATCCTCACACTCTATAAATAACCAACCCGACGTCCCTCTCATTTTCTATTTCCATATATATTATTATCTTATTTCAATCCCAAGTCAATTGTGGGGTATCCCGCTCAGTGTTATTATGATGATTTATTTAAAAAAATTTTACAGATGGACAAATTCAAACTCCAAAATACTCAGCACTCAAAAGATTTATTGAAGATTAGAACACATAATATTTTTATTAAATAGTGCTTCTTGCAGTGCCCTAGAGTCTCTCTTTTAAAGCTGTCATTCATCCTTAGAGAGTCATAAAAGCTTTAGAAATGACTTTATAAGAAGTCATAGCTAACACAATGGAATCTTGAGAGTTTTCAGGTTAATCTTCGTAGAATTGGCAGAGGGCTGGGGGTCTGGGTTAAGTGAGTTGAGAGAGGATCTCATCAATTTGAGTATTTCTACAATCAAGACTCACTGAAAATAAGGTTCAAAGCAGGAAATGAAAGAAATCTTTCCTTTTGCCTCACTAAATTAAATTTATTTTCTCTTTTTCTTCACCTTATTAATTCTTTGTGGCATAATGATTAAAAAGGAAGCCCAGAGGTCAATGAAAGTGGTCACAGCATCCATCTGCTTTCTTATTGTGCTGAGCAGTATTGGTGGGTAGGGGAGACATTTCTCCTGATAGAATAGTGGCTTCCCAATAATTTCAACAAGCCACCATTGATTACTTGTTGTAAGGGTAGAGAACTGGTTGAGAGTCATGGTGATAATGAGCAGCCCAGCAGCCAAAAATAAGTGGACTTCATATCACCTTTGTTATGACCATTAGGGATCGCAGCTTCCTGAGGTTGACAAAGAAAATGAGATATTAATTACGACTATTAGTGCAAATTAACTCTCAAAGATGGCCTGCAGTGTTCCGTGGCTGGAATGCCTTGGACTGTCATCTGAGAGCATAGGAAAGTTCTTCCAGCTGCTTTCACTTCTCGGGTCTACCACTATACCGAATGGCCTGTGGGATGTTGGAGCTTGACATTTAATAAAATATTTGTCTCTAAAGTGCCTAAATATATGGGTCAAACTGTATTTCACAATATATCTAAGCATGTTAGCTTATCAGAAGGAAAATATCCCAAGCACATAAGCTTTAGAAAATTGTATGAGGCGGAGAGGCAAGTTCTTTCTGGGATACAAGGCACTTTTTAGTTAATAAAGGTTTTGGGGGGGACCTGGGTGGCTCAGTCGGGTAAGTGTCTGACTTTGGCTCAGGTCATGGTCTCATGGTTCATGGATCTGAGCCCCGTGTCAGGCTCTTTGCTGACAGCTCAGAGCCTGGAGCCTGCTTCGGATTCTGTGTCTCCCTCTCTCTGCCCCTTCCCCACTCATGCTCTGTGCCTCTCTCTTTCAAAAATAAATAAACATTAAAAGAAAAGAGGTTTTTGGGAGGTTGTGGGAAATGTGAGAAAAGTAACCGTGCCTTTCGATGCAGTAGCCTCTGGAGGGAGCCATCTATGTGGCTTGATACGTGGCTCATCCAAAATGAGATGTACTTTAAGTATGAAACATGTTTGGGTGGCAAAACATCTGAAAACAAGAGTCTAAAAGAGACTAAAAGAGTCTAAAAGAGAGAGACAGAGACAGAATGCAAGTGGGTTAGGGGCAGAGAGAGAGGGACACACAGAATCCGAAGCAGGCTCCTGGCTCTGAGCTGTCCGCACAGAGCCTGATGCGGGGCTCTGACTCATGAGCTGTGAAATCATGACCTGAGCCAAAGTTGGAGGCTCAACCAACTGAGCCACCCAGACACCCCTCTTTTTACTTTTTTTAAAAATGTAGCTACTAGAAAATTAGAAATTCTATATGTCACTTGCCTTTGTTGCTCACATCGTGTTTCTATTGGGCATCCTGCTGTTTGGGTTTTTTTTTTTTTTTTAATTTTTAATGTTTATTTATTTTTTGAGAGAGACAGAGACAGAATTCAAGTGGGTTAGGGACAGAGAGAGAGGGAGACACAGAATCCGAAGCAGGCTCCAGGCTCTGAGCTTGTCAGCGCAGCGCCCGATGCGGGGCTCAAACTCACGACCTGTGAGATCATGACCTGAGCCGAGGTCAGAATCTTCACCAACTGAGCCACCCAGGCGCCCCAACCTGCTGTAGATGTTTAAGGCTAATTTCATGTCCCTGAAAACTCTGCCTTTGAAAGTTTGGTTTCAGTACCCTATAGTTAGAGAGTATTGTTTCTAGTGTGGCAGGTGCTCACCCCTGAAGATTTATCGTGTTTTGTCTTTGTCATTGAGCTAGCAAGAACCATGAGGGTGAAGCTTCGTCTGTTTCACAGCCCAGCTGGAATATGAGTGATCGCGTTGCTAGCTGTCAATGTCTGATAGGCACGTGTTCACTTCATTAAAAATATGCTGTGATGAGAAACAGACTCACATTGCA